TTGAAGTGCTGGAATAGAGATGGAAATGCAGGAAGAAAGGAGGAGAGATGGAAGATGGTCCCATCATGTATATGGTGGACAGTATGGCTAGAGAGGAACCAGAGATGTCATGAAGGAAAGCAGAGCAACATACAAAGATTTAAGCTTAACTGTTTAGCTCTGTATTATTTTTGGTGTAAACAAGTAGTCTTAGATAGCTCAGAAGTAATCAGCACAACTATAGACTGGCTGTAACTTGGTAGGTATAGGAGCCTATGTAACTACAACACTTTTGGAGGGGAACTACACTTTTGAGGTAGTATACCTGTGGATAAATATAGACTAACTGTTACTTTTATCAAAAATAAATAAAATTGAATCTCATGAGATTTAGAAGTGCACAAACAATACTTATACTTTTATGAACTGTGCTGTGCCAACATCCTGAAAATCACCACGACCTCCTCAATTGTACAAGCAATGAAAAAATTCAAGGGCCAAGCAAGTTAGAGAAAGGGTCACATACTTTGGTGTTTAGTAGGACTTGTAAAAGTGTTTTTATGGGTTAAAATGACTATTGGATCCATTGTTCTTTAAGCAACAAGTTTGTACAGTTACAAAAATGACTGTCTAGAAAGGATGAGGAAGAATTTATAGAAGACTATCTTAATCAACTCAAACACAAACACACACGTATTTGGGTTTACCTCTGGGAGCCTCGAATAATGATCTTTCTATATGGAATTCAGTTCTTTAGAGGGTTGACAAGAGGCTTGCAGGTTGGTAGAAAAGAGTATTTGTCCAAAGGCGTGAAGGAGGTGATTATTAAGAGCACTTAATCAAGCATTCCCACTTATTTTATGTTCTTATTTCATGCTCCTATCTGTGTTATGGAAAAATTGAAAAGGCTTCAAAGAAACTTCCTTTGGTATCCAGCGGAGGGGAAAGGAATCACTTGGTCTGTAGGGAGACAGTGACAGCTCCTAAAAATTGGGATGGCCTTGGAGTTAAAGATTTGAAGGTCTTCAACAAAGCTTTGTTGGGGAAATGGTTGTGGGGATTCAGGGTGGAGGTTCAATCATTATGGAGAGGGGTGATAGTAGATAAACATGGTGAGATGGAAGAGGGATGGAGAACTACTGATATTATGTTGCCTTTCGGGTGTGGTGTGTGGAGGAATATCATGAAGGGTTGGGTAGAACTTTATGATAATATCTCTTTCGGGGAATGAGATAGGAATAGAGTAAGTTTTTGGAGAAATATATGGTGGAGATACTTTGTTAAAAGATAAGTTTCTAAGCATTTATAGGGTTTTTGTTCAAAGGAAGGCGGTAGTCCAGCAAATAAGGGGGACACAAGGGAAGAATTGTTTTGGGATTTGAGGTTCAGAAGGAATTTCCAGGATTGGGAGGTAAATGAATATCAAAGTTTACAAGCTTTACTCCATTAACATTGTGAGCCTCCCCAAAGACGATGAGATGGAAGTTGGGGAACAATTGTGTGTTTTCTGTCTAAGTTCTTTTACGAGAAGCTTTTGGTGAGGGCAGGAGGAAGCTTATCCTGTAAAGTCTATTTGGATTCCCAAGGTGCCAAAGAAAGTGTGCTTTTTCACTTGGTAAGCTGCTAGAGGGGTGATTTTGACGATGGAAAACATTTCAAAAAGAAAGGTTGTTTGTACATGTTTATTTATGCAAGGAGGTGGGCGAAGATGTTGATCATCTTCTACTATACTGCACTCTGACCAGGAGACAATGGTAGGATATGTTTAGTTGGTTTGGTATGTCTTAGGTGATGCCAAGGTCTGTGAAGGACCTGTTGTTTTGCTGGAAAGCTGTAAGAAGCAAGAGAAAGAGCAGGGCATGAAATGTTGTTCCTCTGGCTTTGACGTGGATCATTTGCAGAGAGAAATAGGAGGGCTTTTGAAGGGGTAGAAATGAGTTTTCGGCAGTTGATGAGTAGTCTCCGATGTCTTAGTTATTTTTGCTGTACCCATGTAGTCCTGGGATGTATAGAGTATTGGGTGTCTTTTGTAGAGAACCATATTCTTTTGTAGGTTCTTTACAGTTTGGTATACTTCTTGTATCCGGCCCTTTTTGGCCTTTTGACTTGTGAAATGAAATTGTTTGCCTGATTAAATAAATAAATAAGGCCCTTTTGCTATAAACTGAAATGTTCACTACGAAATATACTTCCATATGTAAAAAATGTTCTACAAAGATCATTTTTTAAAAAAATTCAAACTGTTTGATTAGGTAAATTTTAAATGTGTAGCTGTTTATGCACAACACTTTTAACAGATTTGAACAACCATACACAAAACAAATAATTTTATCCCAGAAATTATTTAGTGTCATGGTGTATATAACCTTTTTCTTTTTTTTAACCCCCCCCCCCCCCCG